CTGTGCCAACCTCACCATCTCAAATGCACTCATTCCCACCACTCCAGTCACAGAATCGATCCATCTCATCGAAGGTCTTCCTCTCCTGCGCTGCCCCTCCACTCTGCCAAACATGATGGCCCTCTCCAAGGACCAGTCCCTCCTTGCAACATGCCCAAATACATGATATAAACCCTACCTTCTAAGCCATTTTGATTCTAATCCCAGTTGGGAACGGGTTGTAGGGTAGAGCCAGGGACCTTCTTCCAGAGCCTTCTCCTGGAATCTGAGCTCTTGAGGACGGTCCTTGCCTCTCTATTTCTGCATCTTCACTCCTTGGAGACCTTTCTGTGTCTTGGCATCTTACCTCCTCTCCCTTCTGCTCATTGGGTTGTACAATCTCTTTTATTCTCAAAAGAGCTTTAAGCTTTTGTTTTTGTTGCTGTTGACCGTTGGTACAATGGAAGGAAAGCCTGCCTGACCCTCCACCTCTTCACACTGTCTGCAGTGCTTCGGCCCACTGCTGGAGTCACTGTGTCAATCCTTCACACAGAGGGTCTTCCTGTCCCTTGCTGGCACTCTACGGTTCCAAGCAAGATGTCCTTCTCCAGGGACCGGCCATTCTGACTCAAGCTACTGACAGACAACTAGAAACCCATGTTAGATACCAATCGCACCTAACCACTGCTATTTCAATCTGTCAATTTAAAGACAGATCTAGCAATGGACCATGCTCATAATCCAGGAACCGCCTTTAGTGCCGTTTTATCCTAGACTGCAACTTCTAGTTTCACATTGGAGTTCTGGCTTCCTTGAAAGTGACTGCACATAGGTCATATTCTAAAAGAGCCTTATGCTGAAAGATAATCTATTTTTACTAGTCTGTCCAAACCACTGTGTGACCTTCAAGCTCTTAAGGTAATGGCTTGTGGTAGTGGTGTTGCTGTTATGTGCCATCGAGTTGCTGCAACTCATAGCTACCCTATGGACAACAGCCCTACACCCTGCTCTATCCTGTGCCAATCTTATTGTCTCTGACACACCCACCTCTACCACCCCACTCACTGAATCAATCCATCTCATCAAGGGTCTTCCTCTCCTGCAATGTTATCCACTCTCACAAACACGGCATCCCTCTCCCAGGACTGATCCCACCTTGCACCATGTCCAGAGTATGTCTGACGAAGCTTCAGAATCCTTGCCTCCAAAGAGCAGCCTGGTTTCACCCTCTCTAGGACAAACTTGTAGGTTACCTTAACCTATAGGTTACCTTAACCTCCATGAAAACCGAAAATCAGGGGCCCAGAAAGATAAAAACCATCTCTCAAGAGGAAGCTCTGAATAGAACCACAATCCAGGGAAGATGCTCTAGACAGGATGCGTTAATATAACCTAACAACTCATTTTTTTTTTCAACTGTAAAACTTGTCTTCACACAAGGAGCACTGTCAAATTAATGTAACATTTAGGAGGAGATTCGACACCCCTGGAGACAGTAGCTTTCCAACTGATTCTGGGTGACAGAAGATGATTAAAGTTACAAGACTTCAAGCTCAGCCTTTCTGTAATTAACATCCTTAATCCCCGCTGTGGGAAGAGGCAGTCATTAATTTGGGGATCTCTCTTACATGAGAAAGCCGACCTCAGCAGGAAGCAGATTGCCCTGGTGGTAAAGCGCCTCCCTCGGCTCCTCTCAGACTCCTCTCCGCCTTCTCACCCAACCCCCAAGAACACCAGGAATTTCCCTGCCCTTCATTTCCCCAAGCCCTGGCCTCCCCAACACACACACACTTCCCACCCCTTTCTTCCCTAACTCCTTGGAATGGACATCATCCCCTCTCCCTCACTACTGCCCCCTGTTCACACTGCCCTTACAGACAGCCACAGCAGACCATGCGGAAGAGGCAGCTAACACTAAGCCAGGGTGTCTGACGATAAAGCTTCATCTTAAAACTCAAGTAACGTCAGGCAAACTGCAGGCTCAAAGATTGCTCTAAACTTTCTTATGTGCAGATTTTCTTAGCTCTCTCTTTTAAAAAATTTGTTTTCCCACTTGTTTATTTACAAAATTCTAATACAAATTCGAACAAATTCTTTCCATTTCCTTACCCCCACCCCCATCAAACTGTACAACCCAATGATTAATCCCCTCTTCCCTCTGTCCATCCACATCCCTCTGCTTCCAGCCTCTCCCACCCCTCCTGGACCCTTATACTCATTCTACAATAACGGTCTTATACAATATTTATCCTTGTGGGACTGAGTTAGTTCACTCCAAGGAGCAGCCTGGAGCATAATGTTTTCCAGTCCCTCCCAAGCTAGGTAATAATTTACAGTTATTACGCCTGCCTTCTGCATGGTATTCCATTGCGTGAAGGTATCATAATTTCTCAATCCATTCATTTGTGTTCGGACATTTGGGCTGTTTCCATGTTCTTGTGATGGTGAATAAGGCTACTATGAACATTGGTGTACAAATCTCAGATTGTGCCTCAGTTCTCATATTCTCAGGGTATATTCCAAGTAGTGGAATAGCTGGGTCACATGGAATTTCTATGTTCAGCTTTCTGAGAAAGTGCCAAACTGCCTTCCAGAATAGTTACACCATTTTACAATCCCACCCTTAAGACTGGCAATTCCATCTCAAACAGGAAGCTCTTGAGCACACGTGGAATGAAAAAAACAAAGTGGAAACTAGTCATTGATAAGGTCCTGCGTGAGGCAAACAATTCTTGTTTCCCAACCTAAAGACTGGCTGTGAGGACCTACCTCAAGGGGCTACAGAAGGCAGGGCTGGTGATACGCCAAGAAAATCCATGAAGTAGCTCCGCTCTGTAGCACAGATCACCATAAGGGACTTCCAACCACCCCTAAACGAACCCTGGTGGTGTAATGTGTAATGTATTGGGATGCTAACCTTGAAAAGGTTGGTGGTTCGAATCCACCAGCTGCTCTATGGGAGAAAAATGGGCAATCTTCCATATAGATTTACAATCTCAGCAACCCAAGGAGGGTTGCCCTAAGTTGGACTCAATTCTTATTGGTCAAGGTGAACTGGTCACTATAGTTATTTGCTATGAGTGGGGAGTAACTTCTGACCACACTCCTACCACAGAATTGGTTTTCAGATGATAATATACTTTATCACATATTCTGAGACTATTAAAGTACATTCATTTGTTGCATTCCACTCAAACACCACAGAAATTTTTTAATTGTATGCAAAAAATGATACCGTAAAAAAAATGATACCGTGAAAACTGCACGTACTATGAATATTTTGTGGCATTACAAAGTCTCCCTTTGAAGGAACATTCATGTTCAAAGTAGTTAAATTAAAAAAAAAACAACAAAACAAACCCACCCCACCAAAGTTGTTAAATCACTATGACCACATAGCTTCTCAGAGGCAGTTATTAAAAACCCAGAGTCCTTGACACCCAGCAGAGGGCTTCCGGGCCTCTGCCTGTGGTACTACGTCCTGAGGCATGGAACTGCTGGGCACTCATCACTTGTCCCAGGAGCCCCAGACCTGTCTAGACCATCTCTGACCTTCACAGAGCAGTCCTATACTTAAGCATGCTCAAAAAGTGACTTCTTGAGGGCTCCTGCATGCCAGGACTGGAGCGCTGTGGTCACTGGTACCCGGTGCAACAGTCCACACACTATGAGGTCCATTTCACAGCTAGATGGCTCAGGAGCAAGAGTTCACAGACATGGAACTCAGCACCTGAGCTCAGGCCATGCTCTGAGTACCAATGAGTTGGAACCAACCCATAGCTGACCCTCCACTGGGTTTTCAGAGGCAGTAAATCACACAGGAGGAAATGGCTCATCTTTCTCCTGCAGAACAACTGTTGGATTTGAACTACATACCTCTGCACTGGCAGCACAATTCCTTACTACTAACTCACCCGAGCTCACTATGAGCTCAGGTCTAGCTGATGTCAAAGCCCACTTACGTCAAGAAGCCTTAAGGGAGCTCTGGTGGCCTAGTGGCAAGGCGGTGCACTGCAATCCCAGAGGTATGCGGTTCAAATCCACCAGATGCTCTGCTGGAGAAGGAGGGGGCAATCTCCTCCTGTACCAGTCAGATCTGATTTGACGGTACATGTAAAAATAATACAATAAAAATTAAAAATAAAAATAAAATAAGAAGTCTTGTGGCATCGTAACAGCCTCCAACCCTTAAAAAATGAGGACTCAATTGGCTCTCAACAAAGCTCAATAACAAAGCTCCAAGAAAAAAACATAGGAAAGGGCTCTATTTGTTTACCTTGAACTGTCTGTCATTTGGTCCTTATGCATATGCTACATGTCTTGGAGAAAGGGAAGTCAGCGTGCTCCTTGGACACTCTCATAGTCTGGATATGTTGTTTCTGGGGGAGGCTGTTCCTCGGAAAGGCAGCAAAAGAGAAGACCCCCAATCAAGAGATGACTTGACCCAGTGGCTGCAACAATGGGCTCAAGTGTATCAGAGACTGTGAGGACAGCACAGGACAGGTCAGAGTTCAGATCTGGTGGTGTTCATAGTGTTGCTATGAGTTGCCCTTGACTCGATGTTATCTAACAACTCCCTGTTCCACAGACATCAGAAGTCCTTTCAAAGCAGCACACCACCTTCCATCGTCGTGTCTCTCTGAGTGTAAGTACAATTGTCTGACCCCTTTTGGAGTTATTAGTCAACATTATCGAGTGTTAACCTCTGGTACAATTTGACTTATCCTCTCAGGAGGATGCCTTTTCCACTCCCAACGCGGGTGGACAAGAACTCTTCTTCGTTCTTCTCATCTGGCTTCACTCACCCATGAGAAGGTGTACAGGGTACGTGACAGTACAGACTGAAAAAGAGCTGCCATTTGTGCTGCTTTCATCATTCTTAAATTACTTTCCAAAGAAATCAGGTCACAAGTTTTGCTTTGATTAAGAAACGGCAGATCCTACACATAATGTACTTGATTAACACAAGGGGTGATTGTACAGATAGTTAGGGAAGGTTGGCAAATGCCACCACTACTTACAACCCATATGATGGTCAGCCTTCTGGATAAATAAGCATCGATGTTCCACTGCGTGAAGGGCAGGAAGGTGATGTAGAACACTTCTTGACCCAAGGCGGCCGAAAACCGGAACAGGTAGTAGTAGAAGTAATTCTTCACAACATACTTCTGGATATAAGACTGTAAGACAAAAAGTAGAAGACGCCGGTCATCACGGAGGAAGTTTAAAAACCACTGTCTAAAAACACCTATGAGATATCATCTCACCCCAATCAGAACAGCAAAATTTAGCAGCAAGCAACAAATGCTGGTGAGGTGGTGGAGAAACTGGAACCCTTATTCACTGTTGGTGGAGTGTAAGATGGTGCAACCACTGTGGAAGGTGGTATGGCGCTTTCTCAAAAAGTTGCAAATAGAGATACCATTTGACCCAGCAATTCTACTACTGGGAATACACCCTGAAGAGACCATAACTGACATCCAAGCAGATATATGCATACTCATGTTTATCGTGGGTTCGTTCATGATAGCAAGGAGTTGGAAACATCCTAAGTACCCATCAACAAATGAAAGGATAGAGAAGTTGTGGTATATTCACACAATGGAATACTATGCTGCATTGAAAAACAAGGAATTCGGGGGTAGGGTTGGGGGGGAGAAAAGTGCAACAATGAATGAATGGAAATCCAAAGTCTCTGTAAATTTTTACTGAAATTAACAATAATTTTTTATAAAGTAAAAAAAAAGAAAAAGAAGGAACTCATGAAATATTATTAAAAAATGGGTGACCCTGGAGGACATTATGTTGAGTGAAATATCTCAGTCACAAAAGGACAAATATTGCATAGATCCAATGTTGTAAAACAGGACTGACATCAGGGTTGAGGAAGAGGGGATAAATAATGTATACTGCATTGAAACAGATAAGGGAGAAAACTGTTTAAAGGGGATATGTGATTAGGTATTATTGCCATGACAGGAGTCCAGAGTGAAGGCTGCATAGTGGAGTGGACCTGGGGGGAGGGATTGTAAAACAATCAAAGAATTTTTCTTTTACTTTTCAAAGAGAAGAGTGTACTGGGAGGAGGAGTGGGCAGGGAGAAAAATGCAACAATGAACGAATGGAAATCCAGAGTTCTGTAAATTTTCATTAAAATTAATAATAATAAAAAAGAGAAAAAATAAATTGTGGCCTAGTGGCAAGAAGCTGCACTGCAATCCCAGAGGAACACGGTTCGAATCCACCAGATGCTCTGCCGGAGAAGGAGGCGCAATATCCTCCTGTACCAGTCAGATCTGATTTGACGGTACATGCACACAAAATAATAAAAAATTATATTTAAAAAAAACAACAACAAACCAAACTACTGTCTAAACTCACAGGACACGAATGCTAGTGTGCAAATTCTTCTGCCGTTCAATCTTTCTTACAAGGTCACTGATGACCAGTCTCCATAACAGCAGAACCTCTATCAAGCCCAATTTGCCCACATTAAGTGGAGATGATGTTAGTCTGTCACAGAAGTAAGGAAGTAATGTCCCAGCCAGAAACACCAGGAGAATTGCCACCCCAAACAAAATCCTACAGCCTCCCCCACATTGATGGCTGGCAACCTGAAGGCGGTGAACTCTGCTAGCTAAAGCTGTGCACCACAGTAGGCTGGATAAAGAGCCCCCCCAAAAATGTCTACAACCTAGCCTCTCATCAGGATAAACAAGAGATCCCTCAAGTTTCTTGTCTAGTAGAATGCACTTTTAGTAATGAGTTTGTGCCTTGAAAAAGTCAAGGGCGCTTTTCTACTTAAGGAATAAAAGGAGATGACCTTGAAGTTGTGAGACTGTAACTGCATCTGAAGCTGCTGGCTGCCTACCAGCTATGCAGTCCTCCTCTTTCTGATGAGGTTTCTGATTTTATTCCAGCTTTTGTACCTCCGCGACACAGTCCTGTAACTCAGAGGAAGCTGGTATCACCCTCAGTCCCAGAGGCAGCCCTGGATTCATCGAAATCATCTTGGTAAGTTCAGAGTCTCATCTGTGAGCCATGCATCGCACGGCAGCACTCTGATAATGGTAAGTGGTCAAGAATGAGCAGGAGTAAGGAAGCTCTGGTGGCCTAGTGGCAAGAAGCTACACTGCAATCCCAGAGAAATGCGGTTCAAATCCACCAGATGCTCTGCTGAAGAATGAGGGGCAATCTCCTCTGGTACCGGTGAGATCTGATTTGACGGCACACACACACACACACACACACACACACAATAAATTAAAACAACAACAACAACAAAAAAACCAACAAAAAACAACAACGAATGAGCAGGAGTGAGGGGAGGGGGGTCTCTTATCTGACAATAATTTTGAAATGAATTCAAACTAGGAAGAATGGCAAAAGATCTACCTAAATATGCCAGCCACTGAAAAGTCCATCGAGACCCAGTGTATCAGAGGAGAACTCTGCTCCGCTGGGTTTGCATGGCTGATCCTGCAGAAGCAGATGGTCAGATCTCTCGTCAAGGGGCTTCTGGGTGGATTCAAACCTGCAGCCTTTCAGTGAGGAGCAGGCTACTGAAACTGTTTGTACCACCCAGAGATTCCATGTAGGGGAAAAAACCAAACAAGCACAAAATGGATTAAATAAGAACATTTACAGTTTCCCTAGCCTCCAAGACATTGTACTAGGTTCACAGAAGGATGGCCAGGGACTGTAAAATACCCAACAGGCCCTTGTCTGTGCTTCTAACTTCAACAGAACCTGACACGAGAAGGAACCTCTGCAGATTCTGTTATATAAATAAACACAATCAGATGTGACCTTGAGACAAATGCCAGAAAGAACCCCCTTTTCACATAAGGGTTGTTCTTTTAACCCACCATCTGTCCCGTTTACCGAGCAACCTGTCCTGCTCTGAAGCTTTACATGTAGAACTTCTGACACATTTGACCAGGGCAAAACCGCAATCTGAGGTCACTTCATAATATACAAGGGACAGGAATACTCAGGGACTGCCATTTCCCTGCCTCTGAGGTATAACTGAGGTCAAGTTCAGTATCACAGTCCTAGTAAACAGCTGAAAAGAACTTCAAGGGCAAAAGTAGACTGCTTTGCTGTTATATTTAGTATCTTTAGATACAATATTTCAGTTTCTTAGAGATTCTTTTTACTTTTTTAAATAAGAGCTAATTATTCTATAAACACTTTTGAGGGATTAAAGAATTTAAGATGAACTCGAAAACATTAGCCTATACATACACAACACAGCTGGAGAATTTTCTTAGACACCATCCTGAATGAGTGGCAAAGTCAGCAGGGAATTGGAAAGCTAAACCCAAAGTCAAACCTCTCCGGTAACTGGAGTCCACCAGCCTCTCAGCAAGCTCCTCCCTTGAGGGATACAGGCCCGCAAACTCTCCAGAAGGCCGGCTAGGAGTCGGCTCTGACGCCCTAGCAAAGAATACTAATGGTACCTATGTGATCAAAGAGCTTGAGAGCCATTACTTACCTCCAAGTCCTTGGAGGTCTATATTCTTATATAAAGTAGTTTTGCACTTGTCTTTTTAGGAACAAGACACTGAGACTCCCTTCCAAGAAATCTGAAGGTGTATGCATTTACTTCAATGTTGTTGTTATGCACCATCAAGTTGCTTGTTGTACACAGGAACCCCGTGTACAAAAGCCCTAAACCCTGCTCTATTCTGTGCCAATCTCATTGTCTCTGACACACCTACCCTCATTACCCCAGTCACTGAATCAATCCACCTCATTGAGGGTCTTCCTCTCCTGTGCTGTCCTTCCAGCCTCCCAAACATGACATCTCTCTTCAAGAACTGGTCCCTCCTTGCAACATGCTCAAAATATATCAGAGAAAGCCTCAGAATCCTTGCCTCCAAGGACAGAGCTGGTTTCATCCTCTCTAGGATAAACCTGTTTGTTCTCCTGGCAGTCCTTGGTATATTCAATACTCCTCTCCAGCACCACAGCTCAAAGGCATCTCCTCTCTTTCTATCATCCCTAGTCATTGTCCAGCTTTCTGACGCATAGAAACTAGTTGTGAAGAATATGGCCTGTATCAAGCGCACCTCAGACTGACATCGTTGCTCTTCAGTACTTTAGAGAGATCCCTGACAGCAGATTTTCCCAATGTAATTTGTCTTTTTAATTTCCCAGCTGTTGGTACCAAGAGTGTTGATTGTAGAGCCAAGCAAACTGAACCTGTGAACAATTGCAATCTCTTCACCATCTATCATGATGCTGCCAATCGGCCCAGTGGTGAGAGTCTTTATTTTCTTGCTGTTAAGCTTCAGTCCATATTGAAGGCTGCAGTCCTTAGTTTTCTGCTTCGACGTACCTGCTGGAAAGAGACTTTTCATCCCTGGGTGTGTTGGTCCCATTGGAAAAGCAGAGGTTAGAAAAGGCAGAGAGTGGAATGGTAAAAGTTGAGAGGGAGAAAAGAAACTCACATCCTGAACTTGGCTTCTGTGTTTCCAGCTGGCCCTGCTGGTGGGAGGCTTTCAAAAGGGTCTCTGGTGACAGGACTCAGGGGCAGTCATTTCAAGATAAAAACATCAGGAACACATTGATTAGGTGGCCTGGGTAGAGAGTGACTCTTGGAACAATATGCTTCTTCAGATGCACAGAAGGCCCCAGGACGGTGCAACAAAGGAGCCCTGATGACGCAGTGGTGAAGAGCGCAGGTCTGCACTCAGCAGCTCTGTGTCTGACCTGGTGACTGACATACGGAAAGCTCACCACGAGCCATGGCCAGCAAGTCAATGTCACCTTCACTGGGTTTCTGAGGCTGTATATGTTGGTGGGAGGAGAATGCCCAGTTCTCAAGTCCATCTGAACCCCAACCTTCTGACTAGCCTCCCAGTGCACACCACCAGGGTTCCTATTTAATGATTCCAACCAAGAAAATCCTATGGAGCCATTGTAGTCTAAGTGAAAATGTATACTCGATGCACCAAATGCATTTATATTGTCTGTCACAAGGCAGTGAGGCGGCCTGTAATGCACAGGACTGAGGACATGCAAGTGGCCTGCAGATCCATTCTTGCTAACTGAAACTGCTTTGAAATGTCGCTGATGTTCCAGCAACACCAGTTTCTTCAACTGACAGTTTGTTTTCCTGACATTGAAGCAGCAGTATTTTCACAGTGTCTGTTAGGATTAGGACTCTGTCCTG